GTTAAGACCCTATCGACATTTCAATGTTAGATGACTTGGTGCAAACATGTCACAAATTTAACATTGAAGAGACTTTTTCTATCATCCGGATGATGAAACCAATAAAAGATGTTCAAGGAAACCTGATTATCAAGGAGGAGAAACAAATCAAAACAATGAGCTGATCACTTCAAAGGACTCTTGAATCGATTATCACCTTCAACTCTTCCAGAAATGCCATGACCACCACCAAGAGCACTTTTAGAACTGCCTGCCAGTGGACACCAATCCTCCAAAGAAAGCAGAAATCCTAAATGGGATCAGGCTACTGAAGGCCAGCAGGGAAGGCAGCAGGGCCAGATGGAATTCCCCCTGAAGCATTGAAAATGGACTCACAGACTGTGGTATTCCAAAAGTTTTGGTGGAAGGAGAGGTACTCACCGATTGGAAGAATGTCAAGCTTCCAAAGAAGGGCTACTTACGACACACTCTGCAAGAACTGACTTGGAATCATCCTCTTGTCCACACCAAGTAAACTTCCAAGTCTCATCATCCTGGAGAGAATGAAAGATGCACTGGATACAGAACTCCTTTCCCACCGGAAACAAGCTGAATTCACGAAAGGTGAATCATATGCTGAGCAAATTTTAATCCTTCTTATCATCACAGAACTAAGCATAAATTGGTAGTCAGACCTTTCCCTACTTCAAATTCATCGACTTCAACTTCACAAAAAGCATTTCCAGCAGACTGCTGCAGACGTTTATCAACAGCTGGCCGACCAGACAGAAAGAATTAGCAGCAAGAAAATCTTCAGTGGAGCAAACCAACAAGAGAGGGCCGATCGCTCAACCAATATGTAGAAGAAAATGGAAATGGATTGATCGAGCATACGTTTAGGGGGCCATCGAATGACATCGCGCGGAATGCAGGCCACGGTTCAAGTGCACACCCAATGGGAAGTGACGAGTGGGTCATGAGTGCGAGGGTGACATGGAGGAGATCGTGTGTGGGGGGCGGGGAGGAAGAGATGAACGTTCATGGGCAAGCGTGGGCTCAGTTAAATAGGACAGCAAAGAATAGAAGAAACTGGGGATGTGTTGTTGCTGCCCTGTTTTCCACTCGGAACCCAAGGGAATAATAATAATAATAATGAAGTGTATATTACATAAATTTAGAAAAATAATAATATAAAAGTCATGAGTTCTACAACAGGTCACAATATCATAATAGTGGTTGCATCTTTTCCTTTTGTGCTTGGAATTCTGATGATTTTGAGGGAATTACTATGGCTTCTATTGTTTGAAGTATTTGGTAACTAGAAGCCTTTGGCAGTCTATTAGGCACTGGATTGATGATGATAGAAAAGGACTCTTCACTGTTAGCTTTATGACCTGTCTGAACTAAGTAGGCATTCCGAGGTATAGAATATAAAGTTTTTAGAGGTAACATCCACATGACGAGCAGTTGGATTGATAGAGACAACAAGAGATGGTTAGCCTAGGTACTTCGTCTTTCTGTTTTAAAATTATAAAATATGAGCTGCAGCATAGGACCATTAAGATATCTTTGAATGGGTTCTGTTAGCTTGTTGGTTACTACTTCCCTTGGATATCACCTTGGAAACCGTAATGGCACATAAAGTTATATTTTTCGCCGGAGATGCAGAACATTACTTTTTTAGACTTTGTTTTGTTGTGAACTTTTCTGGAAAACTGTTCTTAATTATGGATGTCATATGCAGCATTATTAGATTCATCTACAACTGCATCTTCTGAACGCATAGGTCTGACGTTGTTTCTTTGATACTAGAAAGAAGGAAAGCTATGAGCAGCCGACTAAAGTCGGCTTAAATCTATTTACCTCCTTATTTGATGAAGGTATTAGGTCTTTACTCTGTATATAGCTCTAGTTTGGGACTCTTCATCAGTACACACCCATCGGGTATTGAACCCAGGAACTTTCAGTTACAAATGAAACTCGTAGACTATTCAGCCGCCGGGGTCTGTTTCAACAGCCCATGAATTCCAACCTCTGTCAATTCATGAGCAAACCTGTAGCCAATAAAATCCCTAAAAACTGACACCTGAAAATTAGTCTCATGCTCAATAGCGACTAGTTACATACACGAAGTTACCTGAAGTTTTAGTGAGCAGTCGTAATCAGTAAGGTCCATTAAGTCAGGTAAGAGAAGAGTTACGCGCTGTTTAAATTGGCTGGCAGTTGAGGTATATATATATATATATATATATATATATATAATGGATCGGTAGAGGTTAGAATTCACGAGTCATTGGCTTAGGTTCCATTTTTCTGAATGACTATATTCTGAACAATGTCGCAATCAGCGAATACACATGAGTAATTCATTGAAAAAGTGGATAAAGTGGACATTCTTGATCGGTTGAGATCCTGAGCAAAAAGTACATTAATTGCAACATAAACTAGCTACTTTCCTCACTTATTCCCCATTTTCTCCGCATTGTCCCTTACGTCATCTATTTCACCTCCAGTAAAAGCCCACTTTAGCTAATTTCGAACGGGATGATACCCACGTCTTTACCCACCTTAATTTTGTTCCCGATATGAATTCTCTGACTGGGATGTTTATATATAGTACAGAATTGTCAGTTTGACCTCATCCACTCTTTGTATACAGAATTTTCAAGTAGAATAGTAATTTAAAGCATATCACTGGACAGAAATTTAGTCTATTTGAAGCATGCTGCAACCCCTGGCCCCCGTCCGACATACGTGTCTCCTCAGAACAAACCAAGCAGTATTTAATTTGTGGATGGTGACTAGCAGGATGCGCATTTCGTCCTATTTGGGACTCGCCAACTAGATGTACCTGCATGTACCAGTGATTGATGATGTTCCCACCGAGGCTCGAACCCAGTGACCATAGTTTCAAACGCCAAAGCGTTATCCACTAGAGCCACGAGAGGTGGTTCTGTGGGAACATCATCACTAGCTACGGAATATAAGTACATCCAGCTGGAGGACGAGCTCCAAATAGGATGAAATGCGCGTTATCCTGGGTTCCACTGCTAGTCACCATCCACAATTTATTTGAGTTTATCAAGGGAAATAATTGCCTCGAGAGGTGGCTCTCGTGGCCTAAGTGGTGTAGTGGATTACGCTTTGGCGTTTGAAACTATGGTCACTGGGTTCCAGCCTCGGTGAGAACATCATCACTCACTGAGAAATGCAGGTACATCCAACTGGATGACGAGTCCCAAATAAGACGAAATGCCCGTTATCCTGGATTCCACTGCTAGTCACCATACACCAGATATATTGTAATTACATGCCGAGACATCGTCGAAGCATGTGCACAAGAAGCCGACACATGTTAACCTGAGACCGAGGACTTTGGTCCAATCAATCGACGGTAAAATCTAAAATTCATTTAGACCAAGCAGTATGCTGAAATTTATTCAAAATTACAAATTAGTCTCCAAGGTCGTTAACAGATGTTCAAAACAAGTCTGTGGAACATTAGATAACCTGAGGATTTAAGCAGGCCACCATAAATTCGATATGATCTTTTATACACTCTGGTAGATTACCAATCTCTTGAGCTAATGAACTTTCTACCTAGAAGATGTATGAGCCCACTATTGTAATCACTATTCGCTTAGATAACCACTACAACACGATACCACTGATACGCAGTGCAAAGAAAAAAAAGAAAGAAGACGGAGCTTTGAGTAGAGAGTGTTTACAGTCTCAGGTCAGCAGCGTCTAAAATACTAGATACGAGTGAACATCGCAAAATCCTCCGAAATTATCAATAGGCGAAATAGCTCAATTCTCCTCAAGTTTACTGAAACAATCTCTATCAGACGCCTGAAAACCAATTTATGTGTTCAGAAAGAAGCAGTTATCAGTCTTTCTTTGCCCTGCCTGGTAGTAACGGGATGTCTTTATTCTCTATTTCATTTGATTACGTAATCTATGGCTTTAACTTCCCCCCTTCCCCTTGATATAGTATAATTTAGATTATCTCTCGTTTCTATGATTTGTGTTGAACTCAGCATATTGTCACCCGGAATATTCATTATTGATCATCCTACACACCTCTCGTCTTTATTATTGAAATCCGTTACCATTGTATGCATATATATTTACCTTGTTTAAACTTGAACTCTCTGTATAAAAACTATATAAGCGTAATTTTCTGAGCACTGTTCACTAAATTCAGAACTTCCTGTCAACTGACATCATGTGAATATTGCAAGTGTGTTAAAATTGTTTCTGTACATATAATTAACAATATGTTCAGGCTGTAAGCAAGCAGCTGATGAAAAGCCAACGAAGCCAACAATGATGGTACAATCTTGCTCTGTACAGATTGTTATTGTTGATATTTATTCAAGTTCATTTTTTATTCCTTTACGTTCCCAGTGGAACATAGGGCGCCTTCAAGCCAAAGGCTTAAAGTTTCGGTAGCTGTGGCATTTATTTTTACGGCATCGGGTTGCTAACCAGCGTTATGTCCAACCTTCCCTCTTAACCAGTCTTATTACTGGCTTAGCGAGGTAATTGGGGAGTGCATCTGTGGCCGGGGATTTAACCCCATGATCCATCTGCATGTCTGGCGAGCATTCTACCGCTGTGCCACCGACGTGATTCAAATACGCATCACTCAATGCCGCAGTCAGAGACTTTAGCACTGAGCTATCCGGGATCGCATTCAAATGACCTTAATTTGATAGGCTTTAGAAGTTATAAGTGTAGAGTGGTTGGAGGGTTGGGGAGGCGGATGGGAAATACACACACATCTGTACTGTAAAAATAAATGTGGTATTTTGGAAAAAGGTAGATGTGTTTAACAAGACTGGAGTAAATATAGTAACATGCAAATATTTAAATGGGGATTTTCTAGTAAAAGCAGCCTGAAACATATTCAGTGCTTCGTTTTGCTTAGTATTCAAACTTCTCTCCCCAAAAAGTACTTACCAAAACGTTACCCAAATTACCATAAAATTCTAATTTTATCTGTTTATACTTTTTAGTACCTCAGATTCCAATTCTGATAGTGAACCCGAGATGACCATAAAGGCACAGAATTCATTAAATCATAAATTTAATTTTCGCGGTGATTTCGTATTAACCAATCAAGAGAAAGAAAGTAGAGTGAATCAAGGTGATGAAGACTTACAATCAGGGAATATAAATGAATCAAATAAAATGCATAAATGGCATAAAAAGAAAAAGAGAAGGCGAAATGCACGTCAACATTATCACCTGAATGATCTTCATCACACGCGTCATAATCAGTATTCGAAATCCCGACGAACGCAACCACACTTTGATGAACAACATACAAAAAAGACAACTTCATCGAATGATTGTCAGACTATGAATCCAACATCTTCATCGTCATCAACAACAACAATGTCTCTTTCATCAGTTGATCACTCGGAGTGTTGTAAGAGACAACTGAGAGATGGGATCAGAAGAATCAATCCTCAGGTATTAAAATTGTTAGCTGTTGGTCTCATTTTTTTAAATTTTTGATTACAGCTTGATTCCACACAGTACATTTTGGTACAAGTATGAAATTTTCAGCATGTGAAATCGGTAGCCCAAATTTTGCAAGCCAACCATTGATATTAGGTGTGCGTCGGCAGGGGATCGAACCCGGAACCATGTGCATGGTTCGCGAGAATCCTAAATACTGTGCCACCGACGCACAGTTAATTCCGCTTATTCGCTTAATGATATTTTTTATGTGTTCATGGGGAATGAGGCATATCAACGCATTCGCATAACTTCTCAGTTTCGTTTATATAACTCCATTATTTGTTATTTTTTGATTGTATTGGTAGTTATGTTTTCAACAACGAGGTTATTGGTGCTGAGTCATTCCTACTACATGTGTTAGGTGTAGACTCGATGAATAAAGATTTAGTAATCAACCTCTTCTTTCACCCACCTATATTACTTTATAGAACTGTAGCTCACTTCCATTATATTGTGTATCACTGCATGAATTGTGATAGTTGAGATTTTTCTAAGCTATTCAGTCAGTCAGTAGGGTCGGTCATTATACACTTAGCTGAATGCTTATGTCTCGATAATCTGACAACTTCCGATCTTCTGGTCGAACCTACGCGGTTGAATTGGGTCAACAGGGTTCTTTAGCCTACATAGTTTTTCCCTGAATAAGTTTCCGTAGGTTTATTATTATTATTTCCTTTAATTCCTAGAGGAGCATAGGGCTTCAACTGCGTTTCTCTGCTTGAGTTTTCATCTGACTCAGGATCTGCAACCACATGCTTTCATCTCCTCTTGACATGACCTCCTCCAAGTCACCCTCTCACTGAAGACCAACTCGCCGCTTCTCTTTCGGGTTCCACTCAAGCGATGGCTTGTCTAGTGATGTCACTTGATGGTTTCCTCAGAGTATGGCCAATCCATCTCCATTTCTTTCTGCCTGTTTTTTGTACAATCGGTTCCTGTTGGGTTGGTTTGCTCCCAGAGATCCCTATTGATGATCTTTTCTGGCCATCTGATCTTGAGTATTGAGCGAAAGCAGCTGTTATTGAAGGTATGTAGTTTGTCTGAGGTGCTCTTCATGATGCACCAAGTCTCTGATCTGTATAGTAAGTAGCACTGATTTCACGTTGGAGTTGGAAATCTGGATGTTATTTTTCATGCTGAGTTTCAAATACCACACTAATTGCTGATTTATGAAGGATCCTATACAGAGGATTTCAAATATCCCTTCCTTATTTAATAAGGCAAAACTGTGGAAGCCTTAGATTCTTTCTTATTACTACCACCACTATTATGCCTTTTCTTGTGAGCTTTTGTGATCTCCTTAGTGAATTGTTTATAGAATAGTTATTCAACACCAATGCTGATCCTTCTTCTCTTTGTTTCACTTCATCGTTTAGGTGTTTTGATATACTTAATACATTTATTGCTCTGCCTTTTAGACACTTAACTAAGTCTCTCTTTACAGATAACGAATAAGGTGAATTCATATATGTGTAAAACTTGGACACTGTGGTAGTAGGCGGTTCCATATTAATTTGTTTATTGGATATATCACACACAGTATTACTCACTAGATGACGTTTTGAACAAAATTTATTCTTCATAATCATATCATCAATTATAATCACACAACTCCGAAACTTGAGTTTTATAGTTTTCTTTGTTCTCTCCGATTTGTCGTCCAAGGGGTAGTAGAATTTTCCAGATATCCGTCTGGGGGGACAGGTGTTGAATCATTCCCACTACACATATTCCCTGTCGCCGACCATGCACATGGTCCGGGGTTCGATCCCCGGCCGGCGCACTCCTTTACCTCACTGAACCAGAGATAATCCTGGTAAAGAGGAAAGGTTGGGCATGAGGCTAGCAACCCCATCCTGTAAAAATTAAACACTGCTACAGAAACTTCAAGCCACTAGCTTGGAGCCCTATGTTCCACTGGGAACGTGAAGGAAAAATTATTTATATTTATTATATTCCCTGTCAAGCGATTCAATAAATAAAAGCTTTTATTATCACTCTCTCCCCCCATTCGCCCTGTTACATTAGATTTTAAAACTGTCATCTTATCCCATCCCATCGTATATTGTACGATTGTGTGTAGTTGAATGTAGTGAATGGTGTAGCAGCGGAGTTCTTATCTTATTAGGGTCGACTAATTGTGATTTTACTAGGTTATTGTGCTCCACTAGTCTCACTGACTGACCCCGTTCTACTACTTTGACTTATCTATTTGAACTGACAATCATTCCTTCAGGGTATTAGATAAACTAAATTGTTTTGTTTTAAAGGCTTCACAGGATTCTTTAACGGAAAAAGCTTAGTTTCTAATTCAGTTTGTGGTTTTCAATACCGCCTTTATTCCTGGATTGTTAAGAATTCTCCATAAGGGTCCCGAGGTTCCCCTTTTGTATCGAAGTACTACTGAGGACTTAAATTCCTTATCAGTCCAGTACTCTGAGGTTTTTCAATGCTTCTCTAACCAATGTCAGCTCATGATGAAGTCCTGTAACCAATCGACCAAATCCCCCACAAACCAATACTTGAATAAATTCCTTATCGTTGGTATTGTCATTATTCTGTGTATGTCTGACATATATGTGACCGTTAGTATTATTATTATTATTATCGCCATCACTATGACTACTATTATTATTGCTTTTATTTTTACATTTTCCTATATACTTACTGATTAATTTATCAGGGTAATATAAATAGGTCAAAGTAGTAGAATGGGGTCAGTCAGTGAGACTAGTGGAGCACAGTAACCTAGTAAAATCACAATTAGTTAATCCTAATAAGATAAGAACTCCGCAGAATAGTTCACCTACACCATTCACTACATTCAACTACATACAATCGTACAATATACGATGGGATGGGATAAGATGACAGTTTTAAAATCTAATGTAACAGGGTGAATGGGGGGGAAGAGAGTGATAATGAAAGCTTTTATTTAATGAATCAATTGACAGGGAATATGTGTAGCGGGAATGATTCAGCACCTGTCCCCCCCCAGACGGATATCTGGAAAATTCTACTACTCCTTGGACGACAAATAGGAGAGAATAAAAAAAACTATAAAACTCAAGTTCTGAAGTTGTCTGGTGTGATAATTGTTACGATTATGATCAGTAAAAAAGTTGTGTTTGAAACTTCGTCATTCAGTAAGTAATAATAATACTGTTGCATCACTGTGTGGTATATCTAATGAACAAATTAATATAGAATGAGTTAAATTAAGGTTTAAGTATTTGTTAGAATGCACAATTTACCTTCTCCTGTTTTATTTAGCAGTCTAACATGGCTAATTCTCCTCGTTCTTTCTCTGATTCAAATGTAAATTGGCAAAGTTCAACCAGGGGTGAGAACATACGAGTCACCTTCAACTGACCAATCATAAAATTGAGGGATGATGTATATTGACAAGAAAACGCTTGAAAACGCACTAAACAGGTTATCTTTCTCTGACATGACTTAAAAATGCGTCCCAGTTAAAGTAAGGAGGGCATCACTTGCTAAGTTAGACTAGTTTCTGTACATGTCTTCATCGAGGTGACTGGAGATGAGATGTTTTTGTCAGTTGTTTATCTCTCTCTCTTATCCTGTTGTGCAATCTTCCTCATAAAGCCCTCAGTTGAATTATTGTGGTTTCCATTAAGAGGATCGATGACTACTTACCAGGAAAATGTGAATAATAAAACAAATTAAAATAGATAAAATGATTCCTATACTTAATACTAACCCTAATAATAATCCTTAACCTAACCAATACTTACCTTAACCCTAATCCTAACCCTAACGAGCTATTAACATATTGTCCAAACAATACTTAAAAACGTGATCTGGGTGAAATTTGCTCCTAAGTGAATAGCGTTGATATTTCAGCTGTGATAATGACAGATGCCGTTAGCCAACGACTAGCATACGTTCAAGGTCATTGAAACATTCACAATCCTAGGACGCTATTGTTGAACTTCGCCTGTAAATTTTATTCCCATTATTATTGAGTTTATATTGTGTGTAGAAATGATAGGTATATTCTGATATCACGTCAAGTCACTGATATGATTATGAGTGATAAAATAAACTGTGTCTGAGGCGTCAGCAATAGTAAGAATCACAGTATCACTCACTGTGTACCTTTAATTAAATAAATTGACTGTATGATGGAAGTGAACACAGTGCCCAGGTTCTATTCGTGTATTAATGCCGCCATTTTTATTCCTCAATAATAATCACTGGAAGACAAAGGCTGACCTTTGTGTGACAGACAGTAAAGACGATTTGATTAGACAAAAACACGTCACGTCATCTGTGTGATGAATATGCATTTTCAGCCCACACGCAAAATTAGTCTAGGTCATTGATGTAATACATTAATCTGATTGGTTGTATGAGGTTTGTGGATTGTCCAATCAGAAAAAATTATCATGTTCACATAACTATAACTATTGTGAAACCAGGGAGAACTGAACAACTGAATAGTCACAAATTGGGACGAAACAGATATTCAGTACTCCCTAATGGTTTTCAGTGGCCTTCCAACTGATATAGGTCAGTCAGTGGTCAAACTTGAAGCTGATGAAATCCTTACAAAATTACAATTTCACACATTTATTCCCCTTAATGAATTTGAACATATCATGAGCTACACGTTTTTGAAGAATAAACTGGTACCATCAGTGTTTATTTTGTTGCCCTCTCGTCAGCTGCTTACAGGACAAAGACATTATTAAATATATCTACAGAAACAATTTTAACATACTTGTACAGAGTTCATTTTAAACAAAACCCAATCGATCAATATATGCATACACAAATTATATATAATATTAAACACTATTCCGAACAATAATAACCATACACAATGGAAACATTTCAGTATTTCGCATTCACATGAAAGAGAGATGAAAATATCCAGTTACCAGGTAGCAGAGCCAGGATAGACTGATAACCACTTCTTTCTG